TTCGTCGTAAAGAGTTACGTCAATGCAAGCTTTGACACCGATCTGGATGACTCTAAGTCACAATCTGGATACATAATTGAAAGTGGGAGCAATTAGCTAGAGTAGCTCCGTGCAGAGCAATGTAGACATAGAAATTTGCAAAATACATACGAATCTGAATGTGGCAGACCCGTTGACTAAACTTCTCTCACAAGCAAAACATGATCACACCTTAGTAATCTTTGGGTGTTAATAACATGGCGATGTGAACTAGATTACTGACTCTAGTAAACACTTTGAGTGTTGGTCACATGATGATGTGAACTATGGGTGTTAATCACATGGTGATGTGAACTATTGGTGTTAAATCGCATAGAGATGTGAACTAGATTATTGACTCTAGTGCAAGTGGGAGACTGAAGGAAATATGCCCTAGAGGCAATAATAAAGTTATTATTTATTTCCTTATTTCATGATAAATGTTTATTATTCATTCTAGAATTGTATTAACCGGAAACTTAGTACATGTGAATACATAGACAAACAGAGTGTCCCTAGTATAGCTCTACTTGACTACTTGTTAATCAAAGATGGTTAAGTTTCCTAACCATAGACATGTGTTGTCATTTGATGAACGGGATCACATCATTAGAAATGATGTGATGGACAAGACCCATTTGGTAGCTTAGCATTATGATCGTTTCAGTTTCATTGCTACTGCTTTCTTCATGACTTATACATGTTCCTCTGACTATGAGATTATGCAACTCCCAAATACCGGAGGAACACTTTGTGTGCTATCAAACATCACAACATAACTGGGTGATTATAAAGATGCTCTACGGATGTCTCCGAAGGTGTTTGTTGAGTTGGCATATATCGAGATTAGGATTTGTCACTCCATGTATCGGAGAGGTATCTCTGGGCCCTCTCGGTGATGCACATCACTATAAGCCTTGCAAGCATTGTGACTAATGAGTTAGTTGCGGGATGATGCATTAGGAACTAGTAAAGAGACTTTCCGGTAACGAGGTTGAACTACGTATGAGGATACCGATGATCGAATCTCGGGCAAGTAACATACCGATGACAAAGGAAACAATGTATGTTGTTATACGGTTTGACCGATAAAGATCTTCGTAGAATATGTAGGAGCCAATATGAGCATCCAGGTTCTGCTATTGGTTATTGACCGGAGATGTGTCTCGGTCATGTCTACATAGTTCTCGAACCAGTAGGGTCCGCACGCTTAACGTTCGGTGACGATCGGTATTATGACTTTATGTGTTTTGATGTACCGAAGGTAGTTCAGAGTCCCGGATGTCATCACGGATATGATGAAGAGTCTTGAAATGGTTGAGACATAAAGATTGATATATTGGCAGCTATGTTCGTACACCGGAAATGTTCCGGGAGGTTTCAGATAAAACCGGAGTGCCGGAGGGTTATCGGAACCCCCTCGGGAAGTTATTGGGCCATTAGTGGGCTTTAGGGGAGAGAGAGGACAGCAGCCAGGAGGTGGCGCCCCCCTCAAGGGAGTCCGAATTGGACTACGGGACGGGGGCGCGGCCCCTCTTTCCCTCTCCCTCCCCCTCTCCTTCCTTCCCCCTCCTAGTAGGACTAGGAAAGGAGGAATCCTACTCCTACTAGGAGGAGGATTCCTCCCCCCTTGGTGCGCCATCTAGGGCCGGCCAGCCTCCTCCTCCCCTCCTTTATATACGGGGGGCACCCCATAGACACACAAGTTCATTGTTTAGCCGTGTGCGGTGCCCCCTCCACAGATTTCCACCTCGGTCATATCGTTGTAGTGCTTAGGCGAAGCCTTGCGTCGGTAACTTCATCATCAATGTCATCACGCCGTCGTGCTGACGAAGCTCTCCCTCAACCTCAGCTGGATCTAGAGTTCGTGGGACGTCACCGAGCCAAACGTGTGCAGATCGCCGAGGTGTCGTACTTTCGGTACTAGGATCGGTCGGATCGTGAAGACGCACGACTACATCAACCGCATTGTCATAGCGCTTTCGCTTTCGGTCTACTAGGGTACATGGACAACACTCTCCCCTCTCGTTGCTATGCATCACCTAGATGGATCTTGCTATGCGTAGGATTTTTTTTAAATTACTGCGCTCCCTAACAAGACGGACGCGCGCACGCCTACTCCTATCCCCGGGCCCGCCGGTCGGTGGCAGCCACCACCATTTCCCCCAAAAACCCTCCCGCCCGCGCGCTCCCGTCCCACACCCGCCATGGAAGACGCCATCGACCTCGAGGCCGCCGCCGGTCTCACCTCCCTCGCCTCGTTCGGCGCCGCCGCCCCCTCCGGGAAAGGCAAGCCTCGTGCCCCGTGCAAGACCGCCGTCGTGACCAAGCCAAAGAAGCCGTTGACGCCCAAACAACGGGCAAGGGAGTCAGCCAAGAGGAAGGGTCGGAGGCATGCTACGGACGCGAGGGATGAGGCCGCCGCAGCGCAGCAGGAGGTCAGCGCGTCGCGGCAGCAACGAGGGAGGCACTCTACATGCTAAGGTTAAACCCTAGCCAGCACGGCCTCGTCCAAGCCGTCGTCGTCGCGGCCAGCACTGGCTCATCGGTGTTTCCTCGGATGGTGTTGCCCGACTCGCCCCGCGCGTCGGCTTGCAACCCGGTGCCCGGCTTCCACATCTACCCGCAGGCCTCCCGCCTCTCGGGGGAGTGCTCGCCCGACGTGAGCGTGGTCACGCCATCCACGCCCGCGCACGCGCCCATCGACCTCGACGCCACCCCGGTGGCAGGTGGCTTGTCATCCGACGGCGCGAGGAAACGCACGCGGCAGACGACGGCCGGCGTGCTCCCGGACGCCTGCAACCTGTTCGAGGGAATGCCGTCAGCCGACGACGAGGACTACATGCAGAACCTCATCTTCGAGAGCGGTGTGTCGGTTGCTGGCTACGATCCCGACGAGACATAAAGCCAGGACGGCCGCGGGGCGTTCACGCCGGCCGCTGGCTATGATCCCGATCAGGCGGCCTTCATGCGTGATCAGGTCGACATCGACCTGGATGGCTTCCCACTCGACCATGAGTTCTCGGACGACTACAGGCTAGAGGAAGAGGACGAGTGAGACATCGAAGTGGAGCCTTTGTTCGAGGATGAGCTCGCCAACCAAGCCGCCGGTCCTAAGCCGAAGCGCAAGAGCAAGCGCACGAAGGCATACACGGCGGCTGAAGACAAGCTTCTTTGTGAGTGTTGGCGAGACATTGGACAAGACCCCAAGACGGGCGCCGAGCAAAAGCATTCAACCTTTTGGATTCGTATCCACCGGGAGTTTCATGAGCGCAAGAAGTTTCTGCCTTACCAATTTGTGAGCACGCGCGGGTGGGTGTCCATTTCCAAGCGATGGAGGGTGATCCAACAAGAGTGCAACAAGTTTTGCGCCACTCTTGAGAGCATCAAGGCCCGCCCCGTGAGCGGCATCGACATGCAAGACATGGTATGCTAGAAAGCGGCCTTCTTTTGTGTCATCAAGTTCATGCTTGCGTGTTCATTTGCATATCATTTGCCATATGCTTGCATGCAAATATTTTGTAGACATTTCAAGCTTTGGAGGCATTCAAGGTTCAACACAATGGCAAGTGCTTCAACCTCTCCCATTGCTTTTGGGTCATCAAGGACAAGGAGAAGTTCAAGGCGCAATATGCCGCACTCAAGTCGCGTGGGGGGAAGCAAGCCGTGTAGGATGTTGGGGAGGGCGAGCCGGCACGGCCGCGAGGGAAGACCAACTCCAAGAAGGAGGACAAGCGGGATGCGGCATCCAACGCCTTGATCGCAAGCGTGAAGGGCATGATGACCAAGAAGGACTCAAGGAAGGAGGAGCACCCGCGTTTCAAGGCGGAGCAAATGGACGCTTTCATGGAGATCCAAAGGAGGAGGCTTGAGCTGGACACGGAGAAGCAAGCCAAGATGTTCGAGCTGGAGGCGGAGAAGCAAGCCAAGATGCTAGAGATCGAGGCCGCCAACTCCAAGACCAAGGCGAAAGAAGTGGCTCTCGCGAGCATGATGACCGGGGTGGAGATCATGAAGGTGGATCTCAACACAGTGTCGCCAAGGAAGAGGCCGTGGTTCGAGAAGATGCAGGCTGACATGCTCAAGTCCGACGACGAGTGATCTATGGCGGCGAACGCCATCTTTTTTGTATGCAGGCAGGTGTGCTGACATGACCACGGGAGCCGCAATGGCGTGGTCGAACTCAAGTCCCATCTTTTTTGTGTGCTGGCATGTGTGACGGTCGGCTGGCGAGTGCGCCAGCATGAACTGTGGTGATATTTTCTAAAGCCGGCATTTTAGCCGGCGCTGGCATGGTGCCGGCATGAGACATGACCGCTGACATGATCGGCCGCGGACCTTTTTTTCAAAATGTTGAGTACGGACATGAAACGGGTTGGCGCGTTGGACGCACTGCCGACCCAAATCTAAAAGAGGGTGGACGCCGGGCGGGCGGCCAACCCAAACGGACAAAAAAGGACAAATGCGCCGTCCGTTTGGGTCGGCACGTTGGAGTTGCTCTAATGACTTTGTTAGAGTGTCAATTTGTCCCAAAATCACCATATTATCGGTTATTACGGGGATTGGGCCATTTGACAATTCTGTTAGAGTTGCTCTTAGCTAGCTCAACGACATTGTTACTACATGGTATTCCCTCCGTTCAAAAATATTTGTCGGAGAAATTGATAAAAAGGGATGTATCTAGAATTAAAATATGTCTAGATACATCCATTTCTCCGACGAGTATTTTCGGACAGAGGAAGTACTATCTTTATAATATTACAGTCTAATTAATTATTCCTTCGCATATCATTCACAGCAACCAACTAAAGTACCAAGCTCCCTAAAAAAAAAAACTAAAGTACCAAGCTAGCGATAGTCATTGCATCGTCCCTTTCTCTGCGTGTCTGCACCAACTCCCTCTGCTTTTATCCATCTATTAATTCACCCCCTCAGCCTCCAAGATTTCACCCTCACAAGCAGAACCCACCCGCTATCCTATCATGGCTCCTCACGCCGCTGTCCTCCTCTCCCTCCTCCTGCTCACCACCTGCGCGGCGGACACGCACCTCCACTTCTTCCTCCACGACGTGGTCTCCGGCAGCAACCCGACGGCGGTGCAGGTCATCAAGGGTCCTGCCTCGTCGTCCAACGCCCTCCCGGGCGTGGCCTTCGGCGACACGACCGTCATCGACGACGCGCTGACGGAGTCCTCGTCGCCGACGTCGGCGCCCGTGGGGCGCGCGCAGGGGTTCTACATGATGTCGTCGCAGTCGGGCATGGTGCTGATGATGTGCGTGAACCTGCTGCTCACCACGGGGGACTACAACGGCAGCACGCTGGCCGTCATCGGCCGCGACGACGTCATGACCACCACGCGGGAGCTCTCCGTGGTGGGCGGCACGGGGAAGTTCCGGATGGCGACGGGGTACGTGGTGTGGAAGACCAACAGCTCGAGCGGCGCCGACGCCACCATCGAGCTTGACGTCTACACCACCGGCCTCAACGGCACCACCATCGACGCCAACGCGCCCGTCTCCCCCATCGACGGGGGCGGCGCCGGTGCGGCCGGCGGCGCCACCGGCAAGTCGTCCTCGGGCGCGGCGGCGCTGAGAGGAGCAGTGCCGTACGGGTGGGCCAACGCGTGGGTGGCCGCCGTCCTTGTAGCTCTGGCTGGTTGCGTTTGGTGAGCAGCTCGATTCGATCCACCATGAATCTGAGTGAGTGGGAGCGGGGTCCATCCATACAACGGAATAGATCTTGATTAGGCGTGAGGAGTTGGTCGGTGTAGTGGTGTCTGGTGTGGTTGGTGATGATGGGGTGGGTGCTTTCTTGTCGCTGTTCGGGTTGGGTTTGGTGATGTACACATGACTACACATCTTCCATGCGTGCGGGAGCGTGAGAGATTACTTTCCGGCTACTACATCCATTTGATTATTACCTAGAAGAACCGATTCTCACATTTTTATATATGGTGTTTTTAGGGCATATATAATGGTGGCATATGGATACATATGCTTCATGACAAAAAGTAATTTGAGGCATCTACATTTATTTTTTCTCCCCAATGCAAGCTATCACTAGTGGACCTCATTAAGAAATACTAGAAAATAAAAACATTAGTACACATGCATCCCTACTTTTCACTTCAACCTTTTCAGCTTTTGTCACCGGATCACACTTTTTCTCTTCAAGCGCCCGCCTCCTGGAGAGGATCCCGCTTCCCTATCCGAACCTACTTTACGTCATATCCGATCCTACATGGCATGTGAGGCATCACCTTGAGGCTATGCATTGTACATGTCCTTATTGGTTGTCATGGGCATCCATAGCGAGCTTGAGCATCTTGTCCTTCTTTTGGCCCACCTAAAGGAATGACGGTGCAGTGCACATAAGGGCAACCCCGCGACCTCAAATGGTCCGATCCGTCTATTTGGGGGTCAACAAACAGACCAAGCGGCCCCACCTGCGGAAACAAACGGATCAATGTCCGTTTTCGATCCGCTTTCGACCCATTTCCGGTTCAAATTTTGACCGCGCTTGCGTCGAAACAGGCAGCGCGTTGACGGGCGGGATGCACGCCCTTGTCCTTCTCTGGCCCCTCGTCGGGGACACGCCCGCCCACTTTCCCTCCATTTCGCCGAAAACCCTCCCACGCGCTTCCCTCCCTCCACCATGGCCAGCGACCAGGCCGCTCGCCCCGCACCGAAGAAGGCTACCAAGAAGCCGCGGTCAGAGCTCACGCCAGCGGAGGTCGCCAAGCTCGACGCCGAATCGGCCAAGAGGAGGAACCGACGGACAAAGGTGGCGGAGAAGAAGGCCGCTGTCGACTACGCCGCCGAGGCGACCACACTGCATGCCGCGTTGCACCAGGTCGACGTCGAGGACAAGGAGTCCATCGTCGGCAAGTCGCACACCCTATGTTAGGGTTGTGTCGACCCCCGCCGGTGATTCTCTCGGTCGCTGCCATGGCCGCGGCGAGCACAGGCTCGTCGTACGTTCGTCCTCCGCAGCACCGGACCCCGAGCATGTCCGTCACACTCGAGACGCCAGGGCATTGTGCTCCGCCGCTGCATGGCCATGAGCAGATACGGTTCTCCACGTCGTCGTACTGCAGCATGGTCGCTCCGGCCACGCCCGCGGACGTCATCGACCTCAACGTCACGCCGGGGTACAGTGGTGCTGGCCAACCGTCCGACGGGACGCAAAGGAAGCAGCCCGGGTTGAACCCTTCGGGCAACATGGCCGGCGCCCACAGGTTGTTCGACGAAATGCCACTGCCGACGCCGACGGTCGATGACCCTGACTACGCGATGTTCATGGAGAACGTCATTTTCGAGGGCTGTGGTGAGGCCTTCCACGTCGACGGCCAAGGCCAAGTTTTTGATCCTGACGCGACCCAAAGCCTGGACGGCCGCGACCACTATGGTGACACTCAATTCGCCGGCCATGATGAAGATGAGGACGACCATGGCAACTCATGGCATGAAATGATGACTTGTATTGTGAAGACGAGAAAGAAGAGGTCGACATTTCGGCAGAGCCATTGGTGTTTATTAATGAGCTCACCCAAAGGGCCGAAGCACAAAAGAAGAGGCAAGGAATTCACACGGGATCATACACCCAAGAGTAGGACACTTTGATTTGCGAGAGTTGGATGAAGATAGGCCAAGATCCCATGAAAGGTGCCGAGAAAAAATGACCCCTCTTTTGGACAAGAGTTCACATGAACTTTCATGAGCGAAGGAAGTTTGCCCCCTACCAATTTTCGAGCATCAGCGGCATCAACTCATTCCAAAAGAGATGGGAGTTCATTCAATGAAAGTGCAACAAGTATTGTGCTGCGCTTGAGAGCGTCAAAGCTCGTCTCGTGAGTGGCCTAGGACTGGGTGACTTGGTATGAACCTCTCATTTTTTCATCTTGTGCACTTTCTTGTTAGCATGCCATTTATATGTTTCATGCATCTTGTGTCCTTTCATGTTACAATTGTGGCCACATCTTTGATTGTGTAAGCCTTCCAAACTTTGGAAGCCTTCAAGGACCGGCACAAGAACAAGCCGTTTACTCTACTCTCAAGCATTGTTGGTCGCTCATCAAAGATTGTCCCAAGTTCAAAGACCAATATGCCGCTCGTAAGAAGAAAGGAGGGAAGGCGGCTGTGGCTGATGAGGAAGGCTTGCTGAAGAGGCCAAGGGGCAAGACAAGCTCGAAGGCTGACGAGAAGCATGATGCGTCTTCCATAGCCTTGCAAGGAACTTTGGAGAACATTATGACCCAAAAGGAAGTGAGGGAGGAGAGGAGGAGCAAATGAAGATATACCTAGAGATCCAAACGAAGAAGCTTGACATGGAGGAGGCTAAGAAGAGGGGGAAGCTTGACATCGAGGAGTCCGCACAACCCAAGAAGCTCGAGATCGAGGCCACCAATGCCAACACCAAAGCAAAAGAGGTGGCACTCGTGATCATGAGCATCAACAAGAACAACATGTCACCGGAGAGGAAGACTTGGTTCACGAACCGGCAGAAGGAGATGTTCACCCGCGACGGTGTGAACTTGGTGAGACCTCGGCGTGGACTATGGTCGTTCATTTTGAAGGTTGGCTGGTGTGCCGGCCGCTGGCTTTGTTGACGACCCCAAAAACTTGTCCATTTTGAAGGCTGACTTGTGTGTCGGCCACTGGCTTTGTTGCCAATGGAAAAAACATGTCCATTTTGAAGGTTGGCCAGTGTGTCGGCCGACGGCTTTGTTGCCGGCATGAAACTTGAGTGGGCATTCTGTAGACCGTTGCCTTTGTTGCAGGCCGACATGAACTGGCGTGAACGCAGCCACTGGCGTGAACTATGTCTGCTACCATTTAGTACATCTTTTGTTCTTTTCATATTTGCATGCACAGCGGCGAGATGCAACCGAAGATGCAGCCGTGCGACGCATCCACAAATCCAAGCGGACATGACCTCATTGTCACCCCCAAACAGACAAAATCCGGACAAAATGGACGTCCATTTGGGGTCGCGTGTTTGAGTTGGCCTAATTTTCTTTCCTCTTTCTAGTTGGTGTATATGTCATAGCTCGATTGCTATAGATTTCCTTTTATTTGAAGCTACTATAGATTTCCTTTGTTTGTAGTGAAATACACCCTTCATAAAGTAATAGTATTGGATGTTTTAAATCATTAAAGTAGTAATCTAAAACATCTTATATTTCTTTATAGAGGAAGCACATGATGGTCGCCTAAAAGTACGGTTTCTCATGCTAAAAGATTTGAGACGTCTTGTAAACTACTCCCTTTGTAACAATGTAAAAAAATTATCAAAAGTCATATTCTGCTCCCGAGCTCAAATGCACCCTGTGAACCGTGAAATCGAAAAAAATAGTAAATTTTTTCAAAAAAGTATATGATTTTTTTGCTAAACTTTGGCAAATGTTTTGTATGCTGGCAAAATTTCAGCACGAAACGACATTCTTTGAAGGCGTGGCAAGAAAGCAAAATCAGCATGACCATACGTGCATGCTTCGGGAATCACAAACCTTAACACCAATATTCTTACTAAACCAAAATTATTCACTAGTACAACCCACATATCGTCGTCTCTATATCGCAAAACTATTGAAAGGAATCAAACTTATCATATTCAGTGATCTACATGAGAGTTTTTATTATATCCCTATTGAATACCTATCATATCAGGACCAATTTCATAACCCGTGCATATTGCCATTACTATTTGTTAAACTCTCAAAAAGATATACATGAAGCAGGACAGTGCAACTATTTCTTTAAAATACCGCCGTGCTCTAAAAGATATAAGTGAAGCACTAGAGCAACTCACTAGCTCAAACGATATAAGTGAAGCACATGGGTATTCTAACGAATTGCAAAAAATTGTGTGCCCCTCTCAAAAGGTGTGTGCAACAACAATGATTGTGGCAAACTAAAAAGCAAACAAAGCAAAGACTCATATAATATACGATGCTCCAAGCAAAACTCATATCAGTGATGAATAAAAATATAGCTCCAGCTAATATACCGATGGTTTGTAAACGAAAGAGCGGATGCCATCCGGGGCATCCCCAAGCTTGGACGCTTGGGTCTCCTTGCATATTACCTTGGGGTGCACGGAGATGTGTCTAGGTCATGTCTACATAGTTCTCGAACTCGCAGGGTACGCACGCTTAACATTCGATGACGATTTGTATTATGAGTTATGTGTTTTGGTGACCGAAGTTTGTTCGGAGTCCCGGATGAGATCGCGGACATGACGAGGATTCTCGAAATGGTCGAGAGGTAAAGATTTTTATATTGGAAGGTTACATTCGGACACCGGAATGGTTTTGGGAAGTTTCAGATAAATTTTGGAGTACCGGGAGGTTACCGGATACCCCCAGGATATTGTTGGGCCTACATGGCCCTAGTGGAGAGAGGGGGCAGGAGGTCAACAGGTGGCGCGTGCCCCCCTAGCCAAACCGAATTGGACTAGGGGTGGGGGCGCGGCCCCCTCTTTCCTTCTCCCTCTCCCTCTCTCCCTTCCCCCTTCTCCTACTACGGAAAGGAAAGGGGAGTCCTACTAGGATTTGGAGTCCTAATGGGACTCCCCCCACTTCGCGTGCCCCCTAGGCCGGCCGCCTCCTCCCCTCCTTTATATATGGGGGCAGGGGCCACCCCAAAGACAGAACATTGTCTTAGCCGTG